CCAAGAAATCTTTGTGATCTTTTCTGCAGTACCCAGCATGGCAGCTGCTGACTTCGGATGGCCACTGAACACTTGAAATGTAGCTAGTCCAAATCTAGCTCTGCTGCAAGTGGGCTTTCAGACAGTGCCAAAGAAGAAGAACATAAAGCCTGTCAGAAATGTTTACATTGGTCTCATGCTGAAGTCATAATATTTTGAATATTTTTGGTTAACTAAAACGTATTCTTTACATTAATTTCCCCTATTTCTCTTTACTTTTCTTTCTTTTTTTTTTTTTTTTTGATGGGGTTTCGCCATGATGGCCAGGTTGGTCTTGAACTCCTGACCTCAGGTGATCCACCCACCTCGGCCTCCCAAAGTGCTCGGATTACAGGCGTGAGCCACCGCGCCCAGCCTCTCTTTACTTTTCTAATATGGCTCCTGACCCATTTTATTTCTGTTGAGCATCACTCTTTCAAATGGCTCCCTGTGTTCCCCCCTAACCTTCCTCTATCACCACCCCAATCCAGTCCTTCATTTCTCACCTGGTGCCCCAAATTAGTATTTTTTGGTAGAGATGGGGTCTCATGTGTTGCCCAGGCTGGTCTCAAACTCTTGACTTCAAGTGATTCTCCCACCTCGGCTTCCCAAATGCTGGGATTATGGGCGTAAGGCTCTCCGCCCAGCTAGCTCTCAGTCTTAACCCTCCTCTAATCCGCATGCAATAGCCACAGGGTCTACCTCAGATATAAACGTGACCACATCACTCTCTGACTTAACGCCACTTCAGTGATGATCTATTGCATTATCTATTAAACTCAGCTCGGCATACAAGGGTCTCTGTGAATCAGCTCTTCAGTTGCCTGCATGCACTCTAGGTTACAGCCCTTCAGAACTAATTGCCCTTCTCTTTTACTGCTATTTCTAGCTGTTTCTTTCCTTGCTAGAAATTTCCCATTCTCTCCAATCTAATTAACTCCTAACTTCCGTAAACATTTCACTCTGCCCGCCCCACTCCCGTCCCTCATTCTTGCCCGGTGTCACAGTTACCTATTTACTGATCCTCTCTCTGTGCGATACTCTGAGCTCCCTGTTCAGGGCCTATGCTGTGGGAGAACTCAATAAAGGTTGATTGGAATGCCCAGGCCCAGGGGGGTTGACCCTTTATTTCTAAGGATACTTCAACTGTCCTCGAAACTGAGAAAGAGGAGAAATGAGATTACCTGGTAGGACTCCCAACCAATCTCTCTTCTTTCCCAAAAGTCCCTATAGGTCAGCCAGAGGTAACCAGCGGAAAAAGTCTCCATTCTTCATCAACGCCCTCCCCAATTTCACCTCTACTTATCCTGCTACCACTCCTGCTCTCCCCCAAGATCACTGTAGAGAACTTTGGGCCCCCTCGGTGGCCTTTAGGAGTGGGAAACTGGGCGTGATGGCTCATGAATATAGTCACAGCACTTTAGGAAGCCTGGAGGGTGGATCACTGAGCTTAGGAGTTCGAACCCAGCCTGGCCAACATGGAGAAATCTTGTCTCTACTAAAAATACAAAAATTAGCCAGGCATGGTGGTGCACACCTGTAATCCCAGCTATTCGGGTGGTTGAGGCATGGGACTCACTTGAACCCAGGAGACAGAGGTTGCAGTGAGCCAAGATCCTGCCACTGCACTCCAGCCTGAGTGACGAAGCAACGAAGCAAGACTTTGTCTCAAAAAAAAAAAAAAAAGTGGGAAAAGAGAGTCGTGCGGAATCAGGGCAGCCTTCTCGCTCAGCGGAGGGCTGGAGCACACAGCATCTGCTGCAGAGTAAACGGGGGAGCCCGGTCAGAGCGAGGTGGGAAGCATTTTGGGTGTCCTGCCTCCCAACGTTTCTTTATTCCCTCTTTCCCCTATAGACCATAGTAACCTGGGAGGAGGAGCAGCTGGTGTGTGTGCAGAAAGGGGAGGTCCCCAACCGGGGCTGGAGACACTGGCTGGAGGGAGAGATGCTGTATCTGGTAAGTGGGGTGGGGGCTGGGCATCTGGGAGAAGGGCCTTCGGCTAGGAGGCATCCTCTTGTCCCAATCAGAGAGGTCCGCAACTCCACCCCCAGCTCAGCCCCACTCCCCGTCCAAGGAAGTGACCAAGGAGGGAAAACAAAAGCATCAGGAGGAGTGAGGAGAGGAAGAAACTGTGGCCAAGGTGGACCCTGGCTACGAGTCGGATGAATGCCCATAAATCATCACTGGAGAGATGGAGGTTTCAGCCAGTTCACATCCCCTGCTCCAGCCACCCTCCTTCCTGCGGGGTGGAAAGTTGAGGCTGTGGAACAATGATACAATTGCCCATACATCAAACACTCGAGCTGCTGTATCTGGAAGGAGTAAATGGAGGTCAAGGACCTTGAGAAAGTGGCTCCGGCCGGCAAAAGCCCTCTTTCTCTCTCCTCATTTCCCCTCTCTCCCCAGGAGCTGACTGCAAGGGATGCAGTGTGCCAGCAGGTCTTCAGGAAGGTCAGATAGCCGGAGAGGAGCCGAGCCCCTCCAGACAGCGCCTGGCCCACAGACCCTCCTGTCATGTCCCCTTCAAGCCCAGATGGTGCCAGGTCAGCCGTCCCTTCCTCCAGCCACCTCCTCTCGCTGGGTCCCTTCTTACCCCTCCCCGTGTTAATCTGTAACTTGCAGCCCCCAGGCCAAAGTCCTTTCTCACACTCCACTGCCCAGTAGTGACCTCACTTCCAGATCAAGTTCTGGCCTCCTAGATGAAAGAAGCAGGCAGAGGGAAGGGCCCTGAGAACAGCCAGTCCCCGCTCTCTCCTGTCCATTTGAACTCTCCTTTTCCTTCTAAGAAAGAGCTAAGCTTTGGGCATTTGGTGATTAGTGAAAATTATATCCTGACGGACTTCCAGAAAACTGTGACTGGGTTTCAAGAGTTTAAACAGCAGCTGCCGGCAGAGTCTTTTTGTCCATTTCTTTGTCCTTATTCTCGAGAAAGCTTCATATGCTCAGCAAAACCAGGCTCAAGACACAGCCCCACCTGCGCAGGGTACAACAGACCCCACGGCTCTGACATCTGAAGGCATCCGGCTATTTGACACTTCCATCCTATGTGCTGGGAAAGAGGGATGGGATGGGGTAAGACCTTTGTCCAATGCTGGGGGAGGCGGGGGGCTTCTACAGGGTGACCTGGGCTCCGTGTCTGCTTTGGGAAGGGCAGGCAGCAAGAAAGCCAGATTAAAAAGGAAGTCAATGAAGGGTGCAAGGTCAAGGAATAAAAGACTGGGATACAGGGGTGTGAGGCACAGGAGGGAGACGCCCAGCAGGCCTGGCTATAGGGACCTTCTGCTCAAAGGCCAGCAAGGCTGGAGACAGGGGATAAAGAGGAGACCTGAGGACAGCAAGGGTCCCAGAGTCACTGCCTTGGAAAACAGCCCAGAAAGGTGGAGCTCGCTCAGCGTCTAGGCCAGCTCCAGCCTCTGGCCTCCTCTCCACCTCCAGGGGCCTTGGCTCTTTCAGAATAAAAGTCCCTGGAGGGGCAAATGTCAGAGAGATGAGGGCTCAATGTGAGGGCAGGAACAGAGCCTGGGGGGAGGGCTGAGGGAGTTGGAAAGTCCCTGGCCCTCATCAGATGAAGACTCTTGCCCCCTCTTCCTGCAATGGCTAGGCCCCCCACGCACGCACGACAGTCACTAGGGCTCTGGCCAAGAACTAGGCTTGCAATACTGATCCTACCACACACTCTGGAATGAATTTGGAATAGAAAAGAGAAAAAAAAGGAACTCCGAGCTGAACGGAATATCTTATTCCCTGCCCACCCTCTCTGCAGATGTCCCCAGTAGAATGGAGAGCCCCTTCTTCCAAAAGCCACCCAGCAGAAGCTCTGGGGGCTGCTGGAACCCACCTTGCCCCTTTCCAAGGTACAGGAAGATGCTCCATCTGTACTCACCCACCGCCCACATCTCCAGGTCGACAGTGTCCTTGCTCTTGAGTTCACGGTGCGTGTCCAAGCCTCTTCCCACGGGACAGTCCTCCATGCCGTTCAGTAACCATGCTGGCCACTGGAGTGTTGGCAGAGGGCCTGACTCAGGAGCTTGTAGGCCCCCATGGGGTATTTTTCTAAATATTTTTATATATTTTTATTTTTCTCCCAAAGTTTGACACTTCTTACCATGGTGGTTTTACGGCCCAAGCTAAAGTGGGCTCAATCCCTCAAAACTCCCCGTGACGTGGGCGTCCAGATCATGGCTGCTGAAGGTCCCCATCCTCCACTCGGCCACATATCTCCAGGGGCCAGACCCCACCAAGAGACCTGGAGACCCCCAAGGAAACACAAGCATCGGGGAAGGACTAGGCTGGTTCAGAGGCGTCTCCAAGGGGGAGGGAGCCCGACCTGCAGAGGGGAGGGCACCGCTGTGGGAAACGGGAGCTGCTGTTTCCCGTGTGGGCAGCAGGGGGCGCTACGCACCGCAGTGGAAGCCAGGGATCCTCCGAATTCAAGCCTCCCTCCTTCACCACCTTCTCGGGTGTTCCATTCCCACCACACACACACACACACACACACACACACACACACA